GAATGGGGAGTTCAGACAAGGAAAGCACTCATCCTAAAGTTAGAGCAAAATTAACATCGGAGAAGCTCCACCACATCGCAGGGCTTGCCTATTTATCCAACGGGAAAGTTTCAGAAAACAGTATCTCTGAAATCAGGAGGGAGCAAATATTCTCCTTCACAATGATGCCTGAAAACAATCCCACGGAGAAACACTTCACAGCCATGTCTGGGAGGAGAGAGGAAGTTATAAGAGGTGTACAGGAACATAACATATATAAACTATCAAAGAACCAAAGGAGAAGAGGAGCAAGAATACCATTAGGAAAACCAAACAAAAACAGGGACCCATCACCTGCCCTCAAATAGGAACTCACAGCTCCCCATAATGGGAAATACGAGGCCAAATCCTGCCCTCACAGTCTTAGGAAATCCAAAGTAAACTTTCCTTCCGTGTTAGAAGTAGGAATGGATATTGGAAAGGAACATGTGGAGCAAACTTCCCAGCACAAGTTTTAATTCGAGCCTTCTCCTGTGTGCAGGAGCTGGTGTTGCTACACCAAAGCAAACCACCAGAAGAACCGCAGGACACAAGGGGTGACCAGCACCAGCTCCCTGTGCTGTAACACCATTCCAAAAATCTCCAGGAAAGGAAAAAAGCATTGTACACCCCAGCAAACACCTTCCCACCACTCACTCCCAAGCCAGCCGCTTAAATCATGGGCTCATCCAGCTGAGTGTTGGGTTCAGCTGAGTTGAACACAGCCTGTATCTTTGGCATGATCCTCACAAAAGGAAAACAGTAGAAAAACTCAACATACTTGCTTAAATAGAAAGTAATAAAAGTTTAACCATAAAATAGCAAGAATCAGGTTGAGGAAAGGGAGTCAGTGACATACTGTAACAAATCCAGCATTCAAGTAAGTGCCACAGGTTTAATGTAATCTGTGCATGACAACTCCCAATTCTTCAGAGATGGATTTGACCTAATTTTTATTTAAAAGTGCACCTGAAATATTTATAAACAGTTCTCTGAAAAAATACTCAGGTGCAATTTAACTGTTTAGCCTCTACAATGATTTTGACTTGGCAGGTCAACTCTGGAACTGCGTTTGAAGCTCCTTTTACGAGATCCTAGGGAAAGGGGATAGTTGGATCTGAGAAAATAAAACTTCTAACTGCTGCCAGCCACCCCTCCCACACGCCAACAGATCATATCAAGTCTGAAAAAAAATACACACGGTGAGAATTAGCTAAGGGCCTCGCTAGTTCTTAAATCAGAGAAAATTTATCAGCCAAAGTAAATTCCACAACAAATAACTGGCTTCAGAGTGGAGGGAGGGGGGAAGTAGGTCATACCAGATCTGAAAAAAAACCCTGGGCATACTGTAATTGCACACAATAATTTGATGAAAACCAGTTGCCTCACCATGCCTTTCACTACTTGGTTGAGGTTTTTCTTTAAAGTGAGTTTGATAAATTTCCGTAAGTGTTACTGAAGTAAGTCACAATGAAGCAAGGCAGTTTTAACTGTGGAAGTGTCATCAACTTGTCAAACTGCAACTTAAAAGTCAAGCTCATCAGACACCTTATATTTCAAGTAATAGATTATCAATCATAACTCATTAAGTATCTTTACATCAGTCATTTATTTTAAAAATTCTGAAGAATTTCCCCAGCAGTGACTTGCACGTCACATACTATAACATTCAAAGTAACACCACAAACAGCTCTGACCTCCCAGGATTTCCCAACACACAATGCTCCCTCACAACACTTAATCACTTCTGCTTTCTGTTGTATTTATTCATAAATTATACAAATATGCAAGAAGACATGATGGGCCATTGAATATTTTAAATACTTTCTCAAATTCTACAAACAAAAGCAATTTTAAAAGCAGCAAAAAATGAATAGAAAGCTGATGAATTAAATGAATTAAAATTAGAAGCCATTCATAAGGGTCCATTAAAAGCTAAACAGAATTACAATGTTCTAGACCCAAGGATCACATCTGCAAGTAAGGCTACAGCTCTTAACCTGAAATCATCGACTGCTATCCCTCTTAATAGCCCTTTAAAAGACAAAACATCCTACTACCTCAACAAACAGTTTGAAAATTATAATTTAAAAAAAAAAAAAAAGAACAAAAGTAAGGGCACGTGAGAGCAAGCTGCTGCTCTCCAAATGAACAGCAGCATGGTGGCCAATGAAAATAATAGTGTCTGATACAAGATCCATCCCATATGGGCTCCTACATCTCATTAAGGCTCTCCTCCCACCAGCACCCAGGCACATGCTTGACGTGAGGCTGAGGGATCGTGGGGACTCTGCTTGGCTACGCTCTGTAGTAGCACAGCTACAGACCGGGCGACTGCAGGATCAACACGTTTTACCTGAGCCAACGGGGAAGCCAAGGAAACAGAGACCCACAGGAATCAAGTGTGCCGGGAGGTTTAGTTGACACCCAAAGCGAGGCTGGACGAGTCAAGAAGCAGCACAGAATGCTACTGTCCCAGAAGCTCGACCTTATTCATGCTCCAACTATGCTACTCACAACTGGTTTAAGTTCAACACCTCTGTACAATTTGTAAAAAGCACAGAGATACTTGTAGCCCGTCGTGCACCATAAAACACACCGTGAAGCACTACAGCACTCTGTTACTGTAACTCAGAGTTTCAGTAGCCCGAAAACACGCTGCCCATTAAAAATGTAGGCACTTCACTTTGTCTAAAGAACAGTGCGAACAATAACAACCCAACAAGCTTTCACCTCCTCTGTCAATCAAGCCAAGACAGCCAAGTCATGCAAACAGCCTGCTGATGAGAGCACCTCAATACACAGCTGCACTCAAAGAACACCACGCCTTTCACAATGGAAATCTTACGGACTATTTCCTTGGCAGAGCACAGCAATGGGAACTCAAATTTGGAAGGTACAATATGAACAAAATCAGGAATCGACACGGTAGAAACAAACCACAAAAAGACAGAAAAATCAGAGCACCGCACGCCTGTTTTGGCGCCACCTGATACCTCCAGGACAAACTTTCTGAACCTCTTAACTGGGAGAGAGCAAGTTTTGGGGCTTTTTTTTTGAGATTAAATTAAGCACAGTACGTTAGTTTCACCATCTCACAGACCTCCACAGTTACTCAGCGCAAGGCAATCACAGAGACCTGACAGCTAAAGCTTTCAGAAATCCGCACCATTCCCACACTGAGCACAAAGCCGATTCCTTTCTGATGACAACAGTCACGGAGAGATCAACATCTCAGGGAGGGAGTTGTTGTTCTCATGGCATCTTTAGTTTCAGTCGTTTCCTTTCTCTCTCCCTAATCCTCAATCATTTCTACTCCTGTAAAAAACACGGGTAAACCCGCACCCAAACCACAGAAAACTATCTGCCTCAAACCACAGAGTGGCTGGCTGTGGATCTCCAGGAACAAAAAAGCACAGAACAACAAAAAGATTCCAGGTCGCTGCCACATCAACGAAACATGTCTTCCAGCTCCAATTAAACGCTTGAAAGAGAATTTTTAAAATCCACAAGCTCGTGAACAGGGACAGAAGGGGCTGCACCGAGAAGAAGGGGGGGTGCAACCGGCCGATGTGCAGGCAACAGCGAAAAAAATCAACAAGTCGGCGCAGCCCAGCGCGGAGCAAAAGCCGCGTCGGAAGGTGCGGACGTACCTTGTGGAGGTGCCTTTCCTGACATCGCAGATGCTGCATTTGAAGGCTTCGGCGCTGTTCCTGAAGGTGCACACGCTACAATCCCAAAAGCCTTCATCGGCTGCAGGTTTGGCTTGCCTTTTCGGCCTTGAGGAGGGGGAGGGAGAGGGGAAGCGTGTGTGTGTACGTGTGTGTTTGGGGAGGAGGAGAAAGGCGGCGGGAGGAGGAGGGAGAGGAGGAGGAGGAGGAGGAGAAAAAGAAAACACACACATGAGAAACCATGTTACAGAGCCCCGAAACCCAGCGCCTGCTCGCACCGCCGCTCTCCCCCGGGGCCGGGAGCAGCCGACAAACACGGAGCGGGGCCGGGCCCGGAGAGGTGCGGGGGGCGCCGCGCTCCGCCCCGGCCCCGCCGGGCCGAACCGCGCCGGGCCGGGCCGCCCGCGTCCCCCCGCCCGCGGCGGGAGGGTGGGTGGGTGGGCGAGTTTGCGGGCTGGGAGGCGCGTTCCCTCCTCCACCTTGTTAAACCTCCCTTTGTCTGGGAGCGGCGAGTGCGCGGAGCGGGGAGTGCGAGGGGAGCCGCCATGGCTGCGCTCGCACCGCACCAGCCCTGGCACCGGCGGCAGGCTGGGAGACACCGGCACTCCTCCTCCTCCCGCTGCCCTTCCACGCTCCCTCCATCTTAGGAGCCTCCCTCGCTCCCTCCCCGCCCGCACCCCCCCCCTCCTCCCGTACCTGGCGGGGCGGCGCGGGCTCGCCGCCCCCTCCCCGTTCGCTCCCTCCATCTTAGGCGCCCCTCGCCGCCTCCCCCCCGCCGCGGCCGAGCACACGCCGGCGGCCGCCAGCCCGGGCCTACCCGCCGCCATCCCCTCGGCCGGGGCTGGGGCCGCCCCGCCGCGCTCCCTCCATCTTACCGCCTCTCCCCGCCCGCCCCCGCGCCCCCGCTCACCTGGTCGGGCTCTTCTTGTCGCCCATGACCATGGATCGGGGCCGCCCCTGCCCTGCGCACAAAGAAAGAGGCGAGGGGAGGGAGGAGCGGGGGGGGAACGGGGCTGCCACCGTCCAGCAGGCTCCGGCTGCTGCGCACCCCGCGCCGCCGCTCCTGCCGCTGCCAGGCTCCGCTCCGGACTAGCAGCGCAGCGCACCCCGGTGCCCTCCCTCCTCGTCGTCCTCCTCCTCCCTCTCTCCCTCCCCGCGCCGCGCCGCTCCGGCGGGCGGAGCTGCCGCCGCGCCGCGGCCAATGGGGGCGGCCCCGCCGCCGGCCCTGCCGGGGAGGGAGCGGGGAGGGAGCCGGGAGCGCCCCCCGCGCCGCCCCCGGCGGGTCCCACCCCCGCCCCGGCCCAGAGCCCCTCGGGCCGCTCCCCCCCGCTCTGGGACCCCGCCGCGCCGGGAGCGCTCCGGCTCCGCGCAGCCCGCGGTGGCCCCTTCTTTTCCTTCCCTTCCCCCTCGCGGGACTCGCCGTCCGCCCGTCCCCGGGGGAGCGGGGCTGAGCCCCCGCCGCGGGGCGGTTGCGGGCGGGACCCGTCCTGCCTGAAGGGCAGCGGGTCCCGGCGGGGGACGGGGGCGGCTCCGTGAGGGGAAGGGCGGCCAGACCCGGCTCGCCCGCCCGGTGCCTGCACTGGGAGTACCGGAGGGGCCGGGCAGCAGGAGCCAACTCCTGCTCCATGCCCTGACCTCGGGGCCGGGCCCCCGCTGCCCTGACGAGTGCCTCGGCCGCCACCTTCACGAATTGCCTTCCCGCCCGGGGTCAGGTCACTGGCCCGCAGCGCTGCCGTAGTGCTGTTCCCAGAAACGTTCCCACAAATCCCTCAGTGACCTGTCGACTCCACCAAGCACGAGCTGTGGTTCTGCAAAACTCCTAAGGTGGTGAACAGTGGCATTTCCCAAAAGGTGGCATTTCCCAAAAGCAGCAGTTCTGCCCCGAGGTTCCCCACTGGGGCCTGTGGAAGCGCTGGGACGGCAGGCTGGACATGCCAAGGATGAGCTGTCACCGTCATTGCTGACCCCCTTTCACTCAGGGACAGTTCCTCAGCATTGGTGGATGGAGGATTTGGGGGCCACCAACAGCCTGAGAGAGGACGGGGCAAGGAGCGATGGGTAAAGACAAAAGTTGGTTCGGCCACACGCCTTGCAGGGCAGACGTTTTTTCACCGTGCTTTCCCAGTTTCTCAGTGGCGACTAAGCCAAGCTAACGGCTCCCACCAGTGAGGAGCTAACCCCAGGCAAGGCACAGCCCAGACAGGGCTGTACCTGAGAGCGTGATGAGCGGGGTTGCAGGGTGAGTGTGGAGACAGTCTGAGCAAAGTTGACCTATGGCTGAATACAAAGGAAAAAATAAAGAAAATTGTTACTAAAAAGCAAACCAATATAAGCGGCTTAAGGCGCAGGATAGGCACTTACCATGGCAGGAGGCAACACAACGATGGTTTGTGCATTACAGCTTTAGTAATCTGGACTCATGCACGAGCCACAGAGGGTTTTTCCTGCCCACCGATGCCCATTTCAACAGTGAAACCATGCTGACAGACTCACCTCCCGTGTTTAATAGATGCATGTAATCCACTTACTCTATCCAGCCCCCTCATCCCCACACAGCTAGTTTAACCCATGCTGGCACCTCCACCAACTACTTTAATTTCTAAACAGACTTCCAATGACTTTTTTCTAAGCCACACAAGTTCCTTGAACAATACAGCAAGACGCAGACATACTCCAAGGGCAGAGTTAAGGTTGCACAATTATCACATGTAGGAAGTGTCATTTTCCCATTGCATCTGCTGTTTTCCAAACATTTTTTGCTCTTTTAGATTATAGCAGTAACGTTTGCTTTGGGAATCTGTGTGGGAACAGGAGCTCAGCAGTGCTTGTGGGGTCTGGTAAGCGCAGAGACCTGGTATGCAGTTGCTGCCAAAACTTCATGGCAATGGTGCCTACAGGGACAAGAATACACTGTGTTTGGGGACAAGATCAGTGGAGAACCTGAGAAGAAGAAGAGAAAGGCAGAAAGCACTGAAATTTTGACTCAGGAGATGCTCCTGGTCCATCTCCTGTTTTCTGCCACAGGTGCTTCTCTTACCTCCACATTGTTGTGTTAAGCAGAGCAACAGCCACCATAGGCACAGAGTAAAATATTGTGGAAACACCAAGGAGCCGTGGCCCATTTTTAGAAAGCAATTTATCTCCTCAAAAAAGTTTCAGCGTTGCTGTTTTCATAGCAAAAGTTGTTTTCTTTCCAAAAACCTACTATATCCTTCATTATCAATTTCCACGGGAAACCTTCCTTCCTCAGCAAATGACGCTTTCAAAGTCACATGTTAAAAACTTGGCAACCCAAGCATAGCGTGATTTCATTCAATACGTACACCTATGGGGAGGTGAGCATTCCCAGTATTATAAACACCCTTGAAGCCACAGTTTGGTGTCTCTTCCTTCATGGAGGGCTCCTGCAGGAGTGTTGTGGCCACTGGTGGGCTGATCCAGCCAAAGCTTTTGGGATGCTGCATCGTGCAGGCAGCACTTCCCTGCTGACGCCTCCAGACACCAACCCACCAAGACAGGAACCACTGGCAGCAGTCAGGGCTGAAAAGACAGTCAAACTAAATGACAAGTGCCTGGCTGGGGTATTTCTTTCATACAGTGAGTTGTCCCGCTGCCCTCAAAATTCACAGGCAGGACATCCCACTGAGCATTTGGGGATTTTTAATGGAGTTTGGGCTCTCATGTCCTCACAAGGCAGCCTTGAGCAAGTTATTTAGCACTTCTCCTTAACTCCAGCAAGCTGGACTGAAAAAGAATAAATTTCTAAATTTCTAGGCTCACACAGGAATCTACGGCACAAGCTTTTAAACCAAACTTGTTCCAGCTAAATATTTTGAACTCCACAGTGATGTTCAGCTGGTGGTAAATCCACCTGAAGGAATTCTACCCTTGCATCCAGAAGATGCCACTTTCTCATTTATGCCAAATGTGTGCTTATTTGAGAGCACTCTCAAGAGGATCCTGTTAACCCACTTCTTTCCACCTCTCCCCTTCCCTCACCATGTGTATTTTTAATGACAAAAACCTTGTAAAGAGACACTGGTTGCAGATGCTTCCAGTGCATGACAGGCAGGGCAGGCAGGCTCAGGGGGCTGGGAGATAGGGCACAAACCTCTTGGGCAAATCTGGGTGACACAGCCTGTGCTGGGAGCTCTGGAGCAAATGATTCCAGTACACCCTTTTCATGTCAGCTATGGAGATATTGGGAGGAGATAGATGGAGCATCGTTACCCCTCTGCACCAGCTCGACATCCCCCTCACCCCAACAGCATCACAGCTACTCCTGCTTCCTTGTTTCAGCCCTGAAAACAGACAACAGTCCAAACTGACAGTCCATCAGTCCGTAACCTCCACAGAGCAGCTGGCCAGGGATGCTCAGAGATGCACTTCTGAGCTTAGCACCCTGTTAGGAGCCTCTTCAGAGTGGTGAGACCTCCAAAACCTGGAGTGCCAAGAGCGCAGGGGTAATTCCCCACACCTGGACCATCGATATAAAAGGATTTTAAAATAAACTGGGGTGCTACACCCAGCCAAAGTCAGTATTTGTGCATAGGGTTCAATGCCAAATATAAATATTAACTTGAGCTTCTCAGCCCCCTTGGTCACTGTGGTAAACACACATTTTTGTAATTTTGCATCAGATGTGCGTAACTTCTCAGAAGTGACTGCTGCCCTGAACAGCCCAAAGTCTAACCACTAGGAAATTACTTTTCTGTGGATTTAATAAGGAATTTCTTACATAGGAGTTGGAATCAGGCTCAGGACACAGATCCCTCTATTAGTTTAGCTGGAGCTAAAAGGATCAGAAGTGATGCTGCTGCTCTGTGGGTCAGGGAAGTTGAGTATCCACCACACAATTAGCACCTTTAAGTAGAAGTGGGTAGAAAGGGAAATTAGCAATTGAGGGTAGAAATGGTGAACCAGCTACACAGGAGCACCTTAACAGCCAGAATTCATTCTGCCCATGTCCTCCTGAAGAGGATTAAATGTGTTTAGCCTCCCCAGGTTTCCAGGATGAGGAGAAGCTATACAGGGGTGGAAGAAAAAGAGGCTGTGTGAAAGCCGTCAGACTTCACACAAAGCAGCATAATGTTTGCCATACATACGAGCATCCTTGGCAAGGAAGGCAGGAGCCTGTGCTCAGAAGCCTGGAAGTCTTCACCACAAAATAAAATACCAAACCAGAAAGCCCAGGGGCACCGGTGGCCAACAAACTGCACCCTCTCTTGCTTTCAAAGCACAGCATTAACTGCCGTGGGCTTCGGATGCCAATGTCAGAGAGAAGTCAAGAGGAAACTACTCCTGGAAGTCTCACTTAGCACTTGACAACATCTTTGAATATGTGGCCCAGGCTGAGTTCATAAGCTTTTTGGGGAAAGTGTTGTGCTGGGGATTGTGTAAACACAGAGCTGGCTGATGGATGGCCCTGGTGCACCACGGAGATTTATGCACGCTCCAGAAAAACGTACTGAATTAACAAGCATCTTGGACTAATACAGGGACACTCAGAGACTTCACTGATAATTGTGAGAGAGAAACAAATGATAAGGAAAAGTTGTCACGCAGTGTTCCATTTTCCAGACTTCAGTAAAGAGTTGGATGCAGGGTCAGATGGGATATTTTTAGCTGTGCTGGGAGCACAAGGGTAGCAAAGTGGGCAAGGGATTGAGCAAGGAGGAGCTGGAGAGAAGATCATTGGTAGAGGCCCTTATAAAACCGCCTTGGGATGACCATTACTTGATATTTTCTTTAGTGACCCCATTAGGAAAAGGAAGGATTGTGCTTATAACCTGAAAATAAAAAGAACAATGTCACAGTGGAAGAAATACGGTGTTACCGACTTTGACAGCTGGGTGCTTGTAATCAAACTTTCTCACTTCAAGCAGAAGCTCATTGGTGTGGCACCCAGGAGGGACAAGACCTCTCTCAGAGGTGTTTTTGTGCCATGGGTGTGACTTACCTCCTGAAAAGGCCAATGTCAAGCAGGGGTTATCAGAAGTACCAATGAATAGAGACAGGGAAGCATTTAATGCCACTGAACACTGCACAGGCAAGACCTTGTTGGAATTCTCCAGACAGTCCTCCAGATGAAGAAAAAAAAATGCATTCAAGCGTGGAGAAGAGTTTCTAGGATGGTAAGAGGGACAGAAAGCCTATTTTATGAGAGGAGTCTCTACAAACTCAACTTGCTCAGCCTAAGGAAACAAAGGCTGGGAGGAGATATGAGCACTCTAAAATGCACTGGGGAAGGAGGCAGCGCATTGCAGCAACAAAAGAGCCAGCAGACAAGAATGAAGAGCACAACTGATCCATGCTGGACATGTGGGCTGGAAACTAGACATCTGTTTCTAACCTTCAGAGGAACAAGGAACAGAAACAGCTTTGCAGTGGGAGGAGCAAAGGCACTCAATGTAAAGATGGACTTTGATCACTTACAGAAGGAGTCAGCGGAGCAGCTCACATAGTCCCTCCTGCCCCTGTGATCCCACTGAGGTCAGATCCCACTGCTGTCACTAGAGTCCTGATTCTCCTTCCTCACCCACCCACACCAAATAATCTCATCTGACTCATTCCCAGCCAACAGATTTCAATAGATGTTCTCTCAAGGGAAGGGGAGAGGTACAGGGAGAAGAAAACTCTTCATCCAGCTCTTGTGCCTAGAAATGGATTTCTCAAACACCCAGGGATTTCCGATTTGCTTCTAAATTTGGTATGTGGGTTTTTTTCCTCCCAGAAAACTTAAAACTTCCTGTATTCAGCAAAATAAGGGTATTTTTAAAGTTTTCCTTTTTTTTTTTTCCTTTTAATCTATTTTTAGGTAGTGTTTCATGGTTTCTTTGGAAAAAAGTTTTAGAACTGAATTAGCAAGTGATCAAATGCCGACTATCAGGAACTTCAAACAGCGAGCCAAAACCTTTCTATCAGAAACAGCCCGCCGAAGAGCAACGTAGGAGAAAAAGGATCTGAAAGATGAGGAGCAATATGCAAGCAACAGCCAGTGCCAAGAATCTCCAGGGTCTGTAAACCCTTAAAATGCCAGACAGACTGGAGTAAAAAACAGCCCGAAAGGTAGAGAGGCATAAAACACTCTGCGTGCAACAGCGTTGAATATAAAACTGGCTGAGTAGAAAAGAAAGCCAACAAAAACTAGAGGCTCTAGCTAAGCATCCTGCACGCTGTACTCTGCAGATAGCAAAGGCTGTGCCATTTAAATCTGTAATCCCTTCCCAAGCAAAGAGGCTTTTGCAACAGCGCAATCTGGATGTCACCAGCATATGAATAGGCATCTTGGGACTGCTCTGGAGAGCAGAGGTCAAAGTTTAGTGATGTATGTACTTGTCTCCCTAATGGGTCTTATTGATTATTATCCATAGAAACAAGCAATGTCTCCAAATCTGCCTCCCCCTTTGGGTTAGATGCTGGCAACCAGGAAAAAGCACCTTGATCTTCTAGGTCCATGCTGTTTGTAGAGTGTTGAAGCCTGCGATGAGGAAAGACACAAAGCTGCTGAACAGACTAGTGAAACACAGCAAGTAGAAGATGGTCAGTAGATCTGTGTAACATCTGCATAGCAATGATACATGGGAGCACAGTGTCAAAAAATAACACCTAATAAAATATTAAAAAAAAATAGGGTAACGTGAAGGGGGGGAGGAGAAAATCAACATTGCAATTCAATCACCTAAGTGAATTATGTGTTGTGGAAGGGGCTGAAAAGCCCCAGCACAGATAAAGCCAAATCCACACTTGTCCAACCACAGGTATTCCAGACAAGTATCTTAAATATTGCAGTGAAATTGTTCTATCTGTGGTACAAAATGGTGGTAACCAGCTGGTATCTTCACAGCACGAACACAGTTTTGTTGTGGCAACTTCAACAGCAGAGGAAAATATTTAAAAAAGCACCAGAAGCACAGGACCAAAAGTACCAATGCTGGTTTGTCCTATCACAGTGAGCACTGCTGTGGCAGCCAGCCAGCACGGTGGTGTCAGCAAAGCCAGCTCAGGTAGGGCACTGGGAACACCCTCGGGTGGAGACTAAGCTGATAAATAAGCAAGAGTAAGAGCAATTATCAGACCTCCTCAAACTTCCCGAGTTTGCAAGGTAGAGCCAGAGAAAGCAGACTCACTCTGGAGACTTTGGTACTCCCACTTTTGGCTGCTTTTTGAAACTGGGGAAAAAAACCCAACCCTCAGCCCTGTCTACAATATTTCAGAATCTCAGAAGACATCCCTTTTGGATTTAGGTCTAGAAACAGGCTCAGGCAGCAGGGAGGTCCTGTCTCTCTCTGGAGATGTGTGTCTCTCTCCATATGTAGACACAAGGCCACTAAGGCTGGTCCCACTGACGAGCTGTCTGAGGTCTGTCTGTCTGCTCTGCCCATCCTCATCCTCACCCACCCCACAGCTTGCAGGCTGAAAAGGGGCAGAGGAGGTTGGCAGCAACACTGGGCTCCCCTGGGCAGCAACAGCCCCTTCCCCCTGGTGCCAAATGCCATTTTCTGGGCTGTTCCTCGCACACCCACCCTGGCACCCTGGCCTCCCCACAAGAGCTCTGTGCACACATTCCTTCGGCCTCGTAGAGGGTTCTCCCTGCAGGGCAGGGATGAAGAAAGCCTTGCTGTCCAATAGAGGGCCATGTAGGTGACTTCTGCTCCTGGCTCTGTGGGATGTGCAGCTTGCTTGCACAGGTTTATATAAACCCAGTTATCTACTTGCACATCCTCACGTTAAAAAAGATGGGTCTGCACACCTGAAGAAGAAGAAAAGCTTGTGAGTATAAAGCATTGACTGTGTCATCGATATTGAGGCCACAGCACAAACCAGATCAGCACTGACTGCGTTTACTCCAGTGGAACTGTAACAACATGATCCCAGCCCCTGCCAGGAATGTTGTTGTTCAATACACATCTAAGTCACAGAGCAGCAACAAGCCTGCTGCACACTCAATTTTCTTCCAGGTACAGCAAATCTGGCTCGCTCTGGGGGACGTGAAGGGACCAGCTCCAGGCAGCCAGAGATGCTGTGCTCTGTGCAGCTGGCTTAGGATCACTGGCATCTCGTGGGAGAGCAGCTACTCAAGACTCACCAAAACAACAACAACAACAGAAAAGCCTCTTTTCTCGTAGAGTACAGCCGAATTCCCTTCCTCTCATTCCCTTAACAGATGTCAGAAAAAAGCATGAATGGCTGCAGCTCTGTGCTCGACTCGCAGCTTTCACACTTGCTGCAGAGCTGGCCTTCTGCTTCTGAACCCGGTTCTGGAAGGTGTTGCTTTTTCAAAAGAAAAATTGAGAAAAAGGAAAAAAAAACCTTAAACACTTAATAGTAAACTCCTTCAAAAGAAAACTTGCTTCAAGCCAAAAAACATTTGCCAAATTTCAACTAAACGTGAATTTTCTAACTAAATGACACTGTAATAAACACCTCAATATGGGGGTTTCAAAATGAGAATGCCAAGACAACTTTGCTTCAAGCAGTTAAAAAAGAAAAAAATATATATAAAATATATAACTTTTTTTTTTTTTAAGAAAAATCAAACTACCCCACGGAGACATTTTATGGTGCTTCAGTTATATATACATATTAAATAAAACAAACAAAAAACCCCCCAAGCAAATCAAATACAGAGAAATACAGGAGGATGTAGGCAGGAGCAGGACTCTCCCCAGAACCAGATCATAGGTCTGGATGCTATTGCAGCAGATTAACCTGGGACCTCTACAGGAAGGAAGCATTTCCAGGTGAGAGAAGGGGTCTACATCAGAAATGCTTTTGCAGAACCTACCCGGCCATTTTACCTCATCTAGACTCCAACGAGGGTTCCCAGGGACTCTGAATCCAAGTCCAGTGCCTCCTTCCCTGTGTGCTGCACCAAGTGGTGCCTGGTGCGGCTGTAGGTGTGAGGGGCTCCAGCAAGGCTCTCCAGCAGCAAATAGTGATGGTGTGAGCCACTAAACATTCCTGGGACAGGAAGAGCCTAAATTCCTGACTGCTCAGATGTTGAATGGCTTTTCCTGTGCTTTGGTGCACAAGGTGAGATCTCGAGACAGCAGAGCTCTGGGTGCGAAGCGTGAGCACATCGATCTCTTCTCAGGGCCAAGTCCGGCTGCCTGGTCTGCAGACAGCTGCTGATTTGTTTTGGAATGTACAAAGATGCCCTTAAATCCAATTTAGGCATTAAGGGGAAAATAAACCCATGAGTGCCGTATGGTGGCTCTGCAGCCCCAAAGGCACCTACAGCTCCTGAGGGGACAGAGGTGCTGCCATGACTGGTCCAAAACTACTGTGGTGGTGCTGCAAACCACAGCATCCTTGCAGAGATGAGCAGTGGGACCCTGCTGCCAGGGGAACCACAGGCCTTAGGCTGGTTTTAATTCTGGCCAGCTCCCTCGTGCTGTCACACATAGGACAGCTTGGGAAAGCTGCAGCAAGAGAACAACCTGTGTTTCTGCAGGGAAGGACTGCAGCCATGAGTTAGCTAGACTTGTCCAAATAAAGGGGGGAAAAAGCTACTTATGTTGTTTCCCCAGCCTCAGAGCAATATGCTTTCCTAGGATCAATTCATAACAGGTTGTTGTGTTCAGAGCTAAAATTAATCTTACATCAGGAGAACGAATTAAAACAATGAAGAGCTTCCTGCATCCATTGCTAAAAAAATTAATCGTCTAAGAGCTTCCTTTTCTACTTTCCAACTGGCCACCTTGCTTTCATTCAAGGAAAGCCTGAGTAAAAAAATGAAAAACCGTTTCCAGGTGGTTTTGGTTAAAGCAAACAAAGAGCTTGAATTGTGTCAGAGCCTGGTTTCAGGCAGAAGGTGTAGGGTTAGCCAGAAAGAGTGAACCACCACTGCTTAGATACAGCCACTGGCCTAATTAGGTGGAATAGCTATTAGTGATTCCACCTAATTAGATAATTAGATTAATTATCTAATTAACTGAGATTGTTGTTAGACAAAGGCAGGTAGAGCTTCAGAGGTGATAAGGAAGACATCAGGGCAAGGTTACTCTGATTTATATTGATTTTTTTAACAGTTCAAGAACTCCCCTGGTTCCCACATTTATTTACCCAAGTCTCGCTCCTCTGGGGTTGTTTTAAAGTGATTAAAGCAAGGAAGGGGGGCTGTTCTTTTACAAACAGAGAGAGAGGGAAAAAAAGGAAATTTCACTGCAAGGATTCAGTGGAGGGAAGAAACCAGACCGGGCAGGGGAATGCGTTGTGGATGAGAACTGCCTCTGCCCCCCCCTCCACTTCTTGTGCTTGGATTTTGCAGCGCATTCTCCCCGCAGACCTTTTTGGCTACACAGCATGTTTGTCTTTGGGGAGAGAGACAACATGTGAGCTAATGATGCACCAACACCGAGCGGGAGCTGTGGTGCTGGCAGATTTTTCTCCATCTCTTGCTCTTTGCTGGCAGTGCTGGTGGGAACCACAAGCCAATTAAGGAGGCCTCGTTGCGGTAGACGTGGCGTAAAAGTAGCATTAGAGCATCCTGCCCCAGAGACCCGTCAGCCCTGAATACCCGAGGGCGAGCGCAAGGCAGGTTTGCAAGTTTAATAAGCCAAGTCCTCCTCGCTCAGGCGTGAAGATAATATTATGCCAGGCAGGCCCCGGGTGGAGGAGGCAGAGCTGGAGCCTGTAGCTTCCACGATTTCAGCCACCTGCTTTGAATTGCAGCGCGACGGAGTCAGGCCCACAGCTGAGCCCAAGTTTTAGGAGGCACAGGAGGGCACGCAACCAAGTCGACCCTGTCCTTCCCGTCCTACAGCTATTGTTAGATGCATCAAGGCATTTGACCCACTTTGGGAGTTTCTGGTGGTTTTTCACATTCCATTTGTCCTTTCTGACTAACATTTTGCACTCGTGTGTCACAGCCCTGGCTCTGCTCCCTGTGGTGGATGCTCAGATTGCTGGAAAAAGATCCAGCTGCTATATCCCACTGTGTTTAGAGTTTCTGAGCTCTGAGTGGATCCAAGACACCACCCACACTGGGTTTTGAGGCATCCTCTCCACATGCCAGCTCCACCTAGCATCCTCCTTTCTCACCAAGCTTACGTCCTCCAGCTGCCTATTTGAATTCAGACCTTAAAGACTTTGCACACTTCCTCACACCAAAAAACACAAGCTTTGCAGACTAGGACAGAATTTTTGCAGAGGCCAATAACAAGTGCAACCCCAGGTGGGCTTTTCTCTGAGTTTTGGAGCTTGGCTGGTCTCTGCTCACACTGCAGAACACAACAGCATTTAGTGATCTGGTGAGTAGTGTGTCCTCAGCACAGGGCCAGCTCTTGGGCTCACCTCCCTGTAGGAATCCTCACAAATCAGCCAGATGGCAGAAGGAAATGGTTTACACACCTTGTCAAGAGCTCAGAGCTGACTTACAGTTTATCTTCTCTAGCTTTGGTTGATCCCACAGCTAAACCAGCCCCTTCCCACTGTAAATGCCTCACCATCTCTTCCTCTGTCTTCTGCACACCTCTGAGGTTTCTCTTTCATACACCCTCAAATCGCTTGACTTCTTCATTCAGCCTTAATACCTGTGTATAATAATAGCTTAATAACTTTATAATAGCTTCAGCCTGTCTCCTGAGAGGTACAGAAATAAACCTGTCTTCCCTAGTTGCACAGACTACGTTAAGAGATCCATTACTGGTCACATCACAATCATTAGAATTCTCAGCTCCCATTGCCCCTGCTCCAGTGTGTGTGCCTTGGCATCCTTTTCAGCAAGATGCTCCACCCAGGCCACAGCAGCATCCCCTGGAAGAGCTGCAGAGTATAAATGTCATGCCAATGCCTTGGGTACTGCATGAGGCTGGGCAGCCTGTGCCCTGCCAGGTGTGGAATGTCAGGCTCCCACTCTCCCTTCCTGCACCCTGAAAGCCCCAGAGGACACAGCCACCGTCTCAGGCAGAACTTGCTCTTTCCTAACAAAACACTCAGGTCTCCACGGGAGCTAAAGGGTTCCAAGTACAGACCAGCCACTTGCTGGGAGCCGCCGGCCATCTGGTAAGAGTATTGGAGCAAGCTACTTCCAAAGCCAACAGACACTTCTTTTGCAGAGTTTTTCCACTGTAGAGAATATCACAAAAATTTCTATTTTGTTGCGTCACAATCCTGGTAGCTAAGAGAGATTTTTATCATTTTCAACAAACTCTGAAACCCATCCCAGGCCTTCGGGAAGGAGCTCTCTTCAACCAGCTGTGGGATGTGATGCCCAGGGAAAAGACAGGTCCCCAGGAGGGTCACATTGCCTCTCCCCAATGGTTTTGGACTCCTTGGAAATCTGTCACCAGTGCACCAAGGCTGTCTCCCATTAGCCAGCAGGATGGAGGGAGACCACAGGCCAAAAAGAGTGAACTTAATTTTAAGTTACTCCCAGCAGCAGAATTTCAATTCCTATCACAAAATCTGGCTGTTCTTCTTCTGTTTTCATCCAGTTCAAGAAGTGTGCAGGAACTGGGCTGCAAGAAATCAGGCAACAACTTAAAGCTGCAGGCTGATCATCCACAGAATCCAGTGATATTAATGCACTGATCACATTTGGTGCCAAAGGGCCCTGGTGGGCAGTTATTTCATTTTTGGGGGCTTGGAAATTGAGCAGCACATCTCACTTGCATCCCCAGAGTTCAAAGCCCAGAGGACAGTAACTCAGGGAACGGTGCACAGGCAGTGCATTGACACTCCTCAGCATAAATATCAATTTTCACACTGTGGTCAGGTTCTGTAAGTGTGGGGAATTGGTGTGGCAACGGGATTTTAACGAGGTCTGGTTGCGATTAATCCCTTTCTAGGCAGTTCCTCTAAATGACTTGATTCCTTGCAATCACTCAGGAATTACAAGACTGAAGTGAACTGCAAGGGACCACAGTGAACATGTGCATGAAACTATCTGAGGCTGCAAAACAAAGGCACTTGCTGGAAATTATTAAAACAGCACAAAAACATGGAACTCGCCCAAAATGGAAGGTACATTGGAATGGATAAGAAATATCATATTGCAATTAATGCTGTATAGGACATGACAGCAAGACAGAGCCTACTTATGAAAAAACATTCCAATACCAGAGCAAACCCTGTGGCCAAGCCTGGACACTATGATGGGGGACATCCATCCCGGGTGACAGGATGCAGCAGCAGCCCCGACAGGACGAGATAAAGCAGTAGCCTGCAAATAAACTGAAATCAGTCACTCAAGTTCCTACTCTTACATCATCCATCCCCTTGCTCTTACCCCTGCAGCAGAGAAGATTCCCTGCCCAGAAGGCAGCCTAGCTGCTGCCAGAGTATACTGGGAAAAGGGAGAGAGAGCTTGCTTTGCAGGGGAAGCAAACGCCTCCCTCCAGCCGATCTCCATCGCTCTTTATCTGCCCACAGCTGCTCACAATCTGGCCCCGCAGATAAGGAAGGCAGCGCTCCCCATCCTTCCCTTTCCTCCAGCTGGCAAGGTCTGGCAGCTCCACATTTTCTGGAGCTGGGAAAGGCAGCGCCACGTGGCAGACAAGCCCATGGCCAAGTCCCATGGCTTTGGCTGGAAGGTGCCACGGTGTGGCAGTGGTCCATGGGGATGGCAGGCATGGCAGAGCAGGCACATCTGCTCCAACCCACAGCCCTCCCTGTGCTTTGGGAGGGTGGTGAGGGCAGGGGCTGGTCTGGATCCCTTCCAGATCCATCCCTCCTCTCCATTCTTTTTGCCATCTCCCTCCCCAGCTGTAGCAGTAACTCAGTACCCTCCTTTTTTCCAGCTCAGCAATACGGCTCTGTCAAGTGCATCCACTGTGAAAGGGCCAAATTCATCCCAGGTGCCCACACAGAGGCTTAACTGGAGGGACACTTGGGATGGATTTAGCCCATTACACAGCGTGTTAATCATATTACTGCAGAAATCTGCACAGTTCCCAAAGCACAAGCTGACGAATCCTCCTGGAGCCCGACAGGCCTCGGAGCCTCGTTCCAGCATGCCAGAGGTTCTTTTATTCATTAATCATATTTGCTTAATAACCTTGTATCTCTCCAGTGGAGGGAACTGCCAGGCTCACATAAGGTAATTGTGGGATGGCTCTCCTGGAGAGCTGGAAGTACTGGCATTTTCAGCTGGTGTGTGTGTGGCACAGCTCCGGGGTAATTTCCCTCCTCATCCTCAACCACAAGGGCACAGGGAGGGATGTGAAGCCCTGCAGATGCTCCATATCCTTCTGTCAGAGCTTCTCCCTCAATCTGGCAGCAAAGTTTATGACAGTGAATTTATAATATTCTGGGTCTGAGCTGCTTCTTGATTGACAAGCCCCTGTGCTGCAGCAGCACGTTTAGTGCAGGTAATTACTGAGGGTGTCAGGGAAAAAATTGTGGAGAAGATCCTGTACGCAGCCTGTTAATTGTAACTGTTCCTCTCGCTAAAAGTTTTGATAGGTGTAATCCATCAAATATGCTTTGTGCAACTTCACAGTGGTTGACTAAAGGCCAATTTTATTGCTTTGGAAATCAATGGGAGCAGCACTGCTGGAAGCAGAAGATCCCGTTGGTGTTTCCCATCTCCTGTGTCAGCAGCCGGTGTGCAAGAGGAAGGTGCTGATTCCAGAGCCTGCTTCTCTCTGCTGCTCACTCACCCCGTGAAGTGTCTGTTGCCGTTGTCCCAGGAGCATTTTTTGCTCTTGTAGTCTATTAAAGCCTGAGATTAGCACTCGTGTTGTTCCAGCATGTGGTCTCACTTTGTAGCTGAGGTTCAGTAACTTCCCTTTGATTAGGCTCACTGAGAATCAAGCTTTTTAAATATCCTGTGATTATATCACTGAAAATCTTTAACTGGCACATTTTCCAAACTCTCTGCTGTTTGTGTAATGTTTATCAATCAGCACAGGATTTTCCATCACAGTACACCCCCGTTTACACCACAGAGCAAGGCAAAGTAACAGCCCACTACAATCTTCAATGAGTTTTTTCCCCACTGTTATTTAGGAAAAGGATTCCCAGCTGGCAAATGCTGTGGCCAGAGCATGGAAGAAGTGGTATATTTGACTGATCATTCCCATCCAGTATTGTCCACCTACGCCACAACTCTGTTGCACCGCAGCAGATGATGCACCATCTTTCCAAGGGCCGGGGGGCTCGGAGGGGCCGGGCAGAGCCCACAGGGACATGGGGAGCATCTGGGATCCTCCCAGGCGAGGATCAGTTTCACATCAGCAGCCTCATGGATGCAGTTAAACTGCAGCCTGGGCCAGTTTTAAATCAAGCCCAGATGGGCCCTCTCCTTCCAGGGGGTGGTAAATCCACTTCATATCCCACCAACCTGGGAGGTGCTGGGTAAGACCCTCAGACTGGCAAGGGGCAGGTTTTACCTGGCGCTCTGTGTGCTGCCAGCACTGCGAGCTGCCTGTAAATCCTTCACACGATGGACGACGATCTGCACTCATTCCTGGTTTACAGACGGAAAAATGAGAGAGGACAGGCACCCAGGGACACCCGGGCAGCACACGTGAGGGGTGCTGCTTGGGGCACAGCAAAACGCTCCTCCGCTCCTCCTCCTTGGCTCATCCCACCGGAGCAGCACATCCCGCTCCGACGCAAAGCAGAAGTGACGCTGACGGAGTACGACGGGAATGTCAATGCTCTTCCCATCAACAGCACGGGGAAACCAGGGAAAGCATATGTGTGTGGAGCTGTGTCACTCTTCTTTCTGGAATGCACTACCCGAGTCCCTGTTTGGGAAATAGAAAATCAGGGACTTGCTGGCACATGGTGGGAAACAACTTGGGAAATGCAATTGAAATGCTTTTTAAAAGCAAAGGGAAAGCCAACACCCTCCCAAGGCAAGGAGACTAAAAAGTGCCTGGGCTATCTGGGAACAGATACAAATACAGGCAGGCCGGTTCTGGCAGAGTCATGATATTGTTTAATAACATTGCTGGAAAGCTAATTGCATAGTTTAAAAGCAAGCTTAATAAGTAGTAGCTATGAAAATGCTAATTCTGAAGTTACAGGGTTAGGAGAAAGCAGACTGGTCTATGCTCCATGCTGAATCAACATATAAGAGCAAGAATCTGGACTTGGTCTAACTGTATAAACCTGCTCGATATTTCAACAGCAAGATATTTTTGCCTTGGTTCTCACAGAGAAAAATACACTCATTTATTTCCCTGAAATACCATATTATGATGGATGCAACTGCCAAGTTATAGCTAATGGATGTAACATGATGGAAAACATCATTATTTAGGTGTGGGAAATTGTTCTTTAGGAATCCAGTGTCTGTAGCAAACCTGCACTCCTTGAACCTCAATTCCACAACGCATTTCAGATGTGGATTTTAAGTGACTGTTTCTAATTAGTCTATCACAGAGCCCTGTCAAAATACCTTTTGGAGCATGGCAATAATGTGTGCACAGGATTTTAAACCGCATCCAGTGAGCAGCTGTGGAACTCGATGCTTGGCTGAGCAGCAAGAAGACAAACGTGGTGACCATCCCCAGCGCTCGTGGGTGCTGCTGCTCCTGTGGCACTTGTCCCCCCACGTCCTCTTACAGGGAAGGTGCCTGGGGACATGACAGCTGGCAGTGCAGATCAGGCTGGTATCATGACATCTGTGAGAGGCTGTTCCCAAGGGCCCTGCAGCTCCCGTCTCCCACAACACGGGTACCCAGGGGCCACGCTGCGGGGGTGAGATGGCTGGCACTGCTAAGAGATGCTCCCAGCTGCACAAGGAAATTGTGAGCTCCCTGGTGACACATGACACGGGAGGAAGGCTTGTGCTGCTATTTCCCACAGGACAACAAAAAGGAGCGAGCAAGGCATGTGAGTGCTGGATACAGCAATGTACCCAAGCAGTCCAGATGCTGCAGAGAAAATTCATCCTTGCTTTGGGATTTCCCTTTGCTGCCCCAAGTGATGGAGTCAGCCTGGTGTAATGCCTGAGGAGAGCTGCTCTCTGCCCGATGGGGCTCCATAACTGGCCTACACTGAGCTTCTTTTGGCCATTTATTCACAGCCCAGCACTGACTCACTGCAATGCCCCATCATACTGCCCAGCCCGAGTGACACAGGCCAGAGCCCAGCAGCCCCAGCCAAATGCACTTGCAGCTTACACAGCACTTCCTTACAGCAGAAGAATCTCTTCTCTGCTCCCCCGGCAAGGGCACACATATAAACATTTGCAGCTGGCTCCCATCAGCCACACAGAGGCCAGTGCTTCAGGTGTCTGATAAATGCTCCTTGCTTCCTATTAATGCTTCTGCTGTGTATCAAAAGAAGCATTAAACCTGCCTCTGCAGCCTTAGCAGGGGCACTCCTGACAGTTTCGGCTCTGCTGGAATAACACGCTTTGCTACTTCAGTGCTCATTTGTGCTCCTGGAACACTCCCATTGGATTCCGTCTGTTCAAGGGATGGATTTCCAAGCACTTTGTGGGTGCCCTAGTGAGTTTGAGAGGTGCACAGCATCCAAAGACTGGGTGCTTTGGGATGCTACCAGATCATCCCTGTGCTCAAACAGGCGGGAGACTCCAGCTGTAGTTATGTGTGCTGAGCCCTTCTAGTCACTCAAGCTTGCCTGGCATCAGAGGAACCACCAGGCCTGGCTCTTACCAGCTCTGCTACCAATGAAAGGGCACTAGCAACACTGTCTCTCATTAGCTGATTGGGAATTAATGATAATCAACTTGTACCAAACCTCCATCTCCAGCAGTTGTGTGACTGTCATTATCACATACAGAGTCCTCTTCTGCTTCTCCCAATTGCCCCAAAAAGCCCTCACACAGCCTCAATGACAACAGCACAAAGGAAATGAAGCAACAATAATTATTATTTTAGAATGCCAGTTCTTAGATCACTACTGTTATTTCTATTGCACACTATATGGTTTTAAGCATTTGGCACAATCCTGAGTTGTTAGAGGAAAATACACCATGCTGGATCCAACAGCCCGAGAGGGGAAGCTGCTGCTGCTCCATGTCCTCAGCACATGCACAGTATAGAGCAGATATACATATATATATATATATACACACACACACATATATATATATATATACATGCATACATGGGTGGCCACACACATCACAGAGAGGCACTCACACAGAGCCAGCACCAGTGGCCTCATCCTGCTCCCCTCTCTGGCTGGACAGGGTGGAATTCCACTAGTAGCAATACATGTGTACAAGGTGGGCCATGGACCCCTTCTGCTGCTACCAGCAAAACCAGTCC